CCCCACGCTCATCTCTCCGTCACATGGTTTTGTGAAGAAGGGGAGGGCGCCGAGTCTGGGGCGGAAGGTGCTGGGGTGGGCGCGGGTGGCGGGGCGGGGGCGCAGAGGATTTCGGACAGGTCGTCCATGATACAGGTCTCCTTGGGGTCGACCAGGTTGAATTCCCTTACGAAAATGATGAAATGTGCATACAGAGTGTTCAAGTGGCCCTGCAGGTCCAGAGCCACCGTCTCTTTAAAGTGCGACCAGTAGAGGTGAGCCAGCACGTGGAACAGGTACCGGCAGATCTTCTTCACCAAGGACTCGAAGGAGTTAGGGAACTCTTTGCCTGAAGAGAAAAGAAAACAGGAGAGACAGGATTAGGCACAATATTCACCATGAGGGAGATTAAAGGACTGCTGGTGTTTTAGAGTTTTGTAAATTGCCATTCAAAAAACCTGTACAATCAAAAAGTGGTCACATTTACATTAAAAAAGAGGAAAACAAAAAGAAGAAGAGTTCCTTTGCCCTTTAAAACATTATTCAAAGCCTTATTAATTGATATACTAATATTCCCTCAAACAATCAAAATATGTCAATTTATGATCCAGATCCAGATAATTGTAATAAGCCTTTCTTTTAAAACTATTTTTAATAAAACAAACTAAATAAACAATCAATTGACGAGGAAGTAATCGGCAGATTAAACGACAGGGAAAATGATTGTGAAATGCTATAAATATAATCAATATCCTTATGTTTAACTAGTCATTGACTCCATCTGAGGCGGCAGGGGGCAGCAGAACCACAGCAGATACTTCTAGCAGGCAGTAACCTTCAGAGGAAAACTCACCATATTTTGTGGGAAAGATTTCCTCATCTGTGACCAGTTTCTGACAAAGACTCATTACGAAGTCGACGTATTGTGGAGCAGTGCACTTCGTCTTCTTCCCCCTCTCGTCATACCAGTAGTATATTCTAAAAAGAGAAAAAAAAACAACATGAATCCCTGTATCAAAAATACATTGCAAAATACCATGCAAGACATATCACTGTGGGACATGATACTGTTACACAACTGTGGTTTATTAATCATAGTGAATGTCTTATATCAAATATACTTGTGGTTTAAGACAAAGCGGTGCATTTCCTGGTGATGAAATGTATTCAAGCAGGAACAAAAACAACATGCAGGTGGCCTATGAGACATCCCTTATTTCCTCATTTAGGGAAAACTCATTGTCTAAGTGCCTTCTTGCTTTATAAATGACTCGGTGCAGATTAAGATACGGTCTAGCTGCACTACAACACATCCTTATCCAGATATCGTGATTCATTCTGGTGGACTTTCTCAGCTCCCTGAACCGGAGCTTTTATTTCAAGATTGTGAAAAATTCCTGTTGTTCCTGCTGTTACAGGACCGCCCCCCCTCCCCCCAATCCCTCTGCTGATCAAATGTTTCCGGAGGGGATGACCCAGATAGCTGAAGTGTAGGCGGGCGGATCAGAGTTATAGTTAACAAATGTCAATCAGCAGGTCAGAGGGACAGAGCCAGTCACGCTAGAAGGTCACCAGACACCTTAGGAAGAGGATGAAGGAGCTAACCAGGGACTAGTAACCACGGAGACAAAAGACCAGCTGAGTGACCCGCAATCTGGAGAGGTTGATTCATAAACTGATGAGAAATGTGCATGCAGGTGTTTCTGTGGGCAATTAGAGGGTCCGGGAGGCAGTGGGGCAGACATTACAAATCCTGAGGAACGTAAGGGGTCCACATACCTGACCCTGCTGACCACCAGACTCACTCAGGATTAGACTGTTTGTGTGTGGGAGTGACGCCGACTAACCTACAAACACTCCGACATGATGAAACCTTGGCACAAACAATATAAACAACTCTACGGAGGATAGTTTACTTACTGTTGATGAACAGATTGGTTATGGCATGAAAGGATTATATTAAATGTATTAAACTTTTGAAAATCTGTCTTATTGTATTGTTTTCTCTCTTTCTTTATTCTATACTGTTTGTATAACCGTATATCATGTCATCCCCTATTCCCCCTCCATTCTCCAATAAATTGTTTCTGTTTATGTTATGATGTTTATTAGGGATGCACCGAATATTCGGCCGCCGAAAATTATCGGCCGAAAATGGTTAAAAAGGCCCTTTCGGCTTTTTAACCATTTCCTGAACAATTTTCATTGTGAGTTATAATTCAACATCTCAGGAGGGAAATGACAGCAGCACAGTGTTCAATATATTGTACTTTCGGTATCTAAATGATACAATGTTGTTTACATTGCTCATGAAATTGTAATTTAATTTGTAATTGATTGTGGATTGCTGGATTTTTTATCCAGATTTATAACTCCAATTGGCATTGTTCGCAGGGAAATGCGTTAATAAAAAGTATGCCGAATAAAGGCGCCTTTTGGTAATATCCTTTTCTGCCGATATTTTATCAATGTGGCCTTGGACTACTTTGTTTATGCAGGACAGACAGCCTATTTAGAGATCTCTTGAAACTTGAATTGTAATTTTCTTTGTAAATAGTCAGACATTGCTTGCTGAGATTATTATCCAGTTTGCACATTTGTATGCCATGCCACGCTTATAAGGTGCCATATTGCTGTCTCGCTCTGGTCGGCCTTTGCTGTGACAGTCTGCATTCTCTCTTTCTACAATAAAATAATTTCTATAACACTAGTATGACAGATAGGAATTAATTCGCGAGTTTGGGGAGGGGGAACGACTTCCTAGATGCTTTATGCTGGAGTGATCTAATAGGACATCTCATTGCCTTAATATATAATGTTCTGAAGTTTAGCCTGCTAATTGAGATATGGTAGTAATATATTACAATAGAATTCTTCCTACAAGAGAAAGTATAAATGCCACTAGCAACTTGGTATTTAAATATATCATTTTTGATTAATGCTTACTGCTATGACAATTCAATTATGTGCCTGCCACGTTAACAATAAATGCTTATTTATGGAAAACCCTATTCCTCGGTTTAGAAGACTAATAGCTGCAATTATATTTAAGTAAGTTTTGCCCATAATCATGTCTTTTCCATAATCAAGGTGGCCTGAACAACATTGGGCCCCCTAAAAGGTAATGCTTATACATCTAATATATATATTTTTTTACTAATCATTTTTCGGTCCTTTCGCATTCGGTTTTCGGTCAAATTTCGGCCTTTCGGCATTCGGCAAACTGTTTCGTATTTTCGGTATCGGTTTCGGCCAAGAATCTCCCATTCGGTGCACCCCTAATGTTTATAAGTGATGATGAAATGGGAAGGGGGGCCCACTGTGCAGTCTATATGTTTAAGGGATGTAATAAAAGAAATACAACACAACAAGCTGTGTCTGATTAACACCCCAAGGAGAAAAGTTTAGGTAAACAGATTAAATGATTGAGTTTAATGACTAGCTTAATGTTTCGCAAAGTCTTTGCAAATAGGGAATTAAATATTTGATAGGGGATTTGTAAATGACTCTTGGTAAATGGGCTATAAGAACCCGACGCTAATGAACAGTGTGAGCACACACATCTCAAACACACATCTATTCCCCCTCCCATACAAAATGAGTCTAAATAGCTACAAAATGGTTCCGTTCCCTCATAGCTCATGGAAACATTTTCTTCCAAAAATAGTGCTGAGCTCTGCCTTCGGGCAGGGGCACTGACGCTGCTGCGACTGTGGCTCAGTTCACCACAGAAAAGGGGGGGGCAGCAGGTCCTGCACAGGCAGGAAAGGGTGGGGTGCTGGACAGTGGGCAGTGGGGAAGGTTCAATCATAGACCGTGTGCCTCCACTAAGAAACACAGTTTTATTGAATTCATTACCATTTAAGTGTAATCTGGGGTGGAGCTGTGAGAAGAACTCAAATGTT